CACTTTGTACTAAAGTCGCATGGCCTCTGCATGAATTTCCTGAAATGCATCCAGTAACATGTGGTACTTGACTTCTATTGGTTCATTTTCGAATTCACGATCACTATCATCGTCTGATTGTGCAGAGCCTGCCATGAAGCAGATATTTGATTCTTCTTTGCGATCACAGTCTTCATCACTTGAAGAGTCCGAGTCACTGTTTTCCCAAGTAATATATGCGCTTTTCTGCTTCTTGCTCTTGTCATGAGGAAATCTCCTGCTTCCTCTTTGCTTGATTTTCAGGTCTGGACATTCAAGCTTGATATGTCCTTCTTTGCCAAACTCATAACACTGAACATCATTTGACCTTGCAATTTTCTTTCCCTTTCCAATACCTGCATGGTCAGTAAATTGACTTTTGTTTTTCATGAATCGATTGAATTTTCTTACCACCATGCTCATCAATTCTTTGTTTCCCAGTTCTGCCTCTGATTCAACTTCAGAATTCACACTACAAAAAATATTGTATTTAGTAGGGATTATTTTGGGGAGGTTATTAAAAACCCCCTCAAATAAACATTATCTAAAATTATTTTGATAAATCATCTTAAAGCCAAGAATAACGGAGGTTTTGATTCCTTTTGGAAGAGGTTGGTTAGCTTAATAGATTATAATACTTTTTTTTTTNAGAATCATTGTAATACAAAAATTATTACAGGTATAATCTCTGTGTGTAAATGTATGAATGCAATAGTAAACAGTAAAGCATTCAACTTCATACACAACACAATCGACTTAATCAATACAGATTGAATTTAAGAAAAATATTTGATTTCATTAATTTTCAAAAGATATTACAATTAGATTAACCAAAAATAATGGCTTATAAAGCCTACTACAACTAGAACAAAACAAACCAGGAAAAAATAACTAAGACAACCAACCAAACAAACAAAACACATGACACTAGACTGTAAACACAAGACTCTTATTCTGTTTCAGATGACTCCATAGAATTTTCTTCACTAGTCTCATCATCTTTATCTATTGATTCTTCTATCGATGTAGAACTTTCCACATAATTCTCTATAATTTCATCCATCTTCTCATTCATTTTCATAAGAGATTTCTTCATTAGGTTAGCTCTTTTGGAGACCTTCTCAAATCTATTTGCCACAAACTTTTCAAATTCAGACATAGGAGATCGTAATATTTGTTCACAATCGGAGTCATGTAACTCATCTTGATTCTTGGTTGAGTCCTGTTCATTTCTGAAAAACCATCCTAGAGCAGTTTTTTTCAAACCAATACATGTTAGAATCGCCTTTCCAATTTGATTGGCTTTGTTGCATGTGACCTTGGTTTCACCAATGAGATTAATGTCACTAAAAGACAATATTTTGCTTATGAGCACACCATAAGGTAAATCACACCAGTCATTGATACCGACATCAATAATATGCCACTTGAAAACAACTACCCAATTTGTTGGTATTCTAAACATTATAGCATTTAGCAGCTATAGATCCTCTGAAGTCAATTTTTCATAATTAGATCTTCCAGGTAACAAAACATGACCAATGATGAAATCAATGATTTTCTCTTCATTGTCCAGCCATCTATGCAGAAATCCTTTTTCCTTCTTGTATCTTCCTGGATATCTCATACAATCTTTGAACATTTGCGTCTTCTTAGTCCACCTGTTTTGTAAGCAATCTAGTAAGTGTGACATGTGTCCTTCATCTTTGAGACCGGCAACTTGTAACCAAGTATCATTGTTGATAACAATGTCTACTCCTTTTACGCGAGAATGAATGTTTCCATCAACAACTTTGATGTTGTTGTAAGATACTCTAACAAGATCTGGATAATAGTCACCTTTCATCTGAACAAAGGTTGATAGACCCTGATATCCAAGCTTTTCTGGAAATATGAATCCTTCATTCCTGAACAGAGATAGCTCAATTGACTTGTGTGGAGCAACATCTTTAAATTTCTTCCAACACATAAACCTTTCTCTAGCGTCGCTGTCACTGATCCACCCTAAAGGACTTGCATTTCTTTTGGATGGAGAAATGTTCTTGGTGCGCTTAGGTGAGGAAGATGATGCCATTTTCAAAGAATTCACGAAGCACCTTTCATAGAATTTTCTAGGGTTTTGTGTGTTACAACTGTAGTCATGGTATACATATATAAAGGCGCGAAAGAATAATCACAAATAAGTCCATTTAAATTTTCAAATATAGAAAGCCCATGACAGAGATGTCTAGTCGATTTCATTAATTTCAAAGTTGACTTCTGTATGACAAAAGGTTTTCACAAAATAAAAATACACATATAACAACATGTAATTGACTGTGTACTTTATCCAATCGATTAAAAGTCGTAAAAATTGATTTTCACATAAAATAATCTTAATCAATCAATCAACAATCATACATTCATCAAACAATCATTCAAACAAATATCATTCATGATGCAGTGAGATAATAATCGTTACCGCTTGTAGGTACTCAAGAACTTTGATATCATCAAGTTAGCTCATCCTTGAGTTCTGCACTACTACAACATCATCTGCTTTCCTGCAAAACAACTTAGATTTTTGATGTAGGTACCCATTTGAATTTGGGTCCTTGTTTGTCAGTTGCAGAAAGTTCTTCCTTGGGAACCCATTTGTATTTTCCTTTTGGAACACCAACATTTCTAAAATAGCAGTTTCTTACTATGTGACCAAGTGTATTGCAATAAAAGCATGCATTAGTAGTAGGTTTACTCAGATCAATAAATTTCTTTGAGTTTATCCTATTACTTTTAGCCTTGTAGCCAATACCTTGTTTGTAGATAGCTCTTCCAAATGATCTCAACACAGCATCAAGATTTTCTTTGCCTTGAGTGAATTTTGCCAATCTGGTTAAGTACTCAATTTTCTCAACATGTAGAGGACAATTATCACACTCTTTCTCAACAACTTGTACTTCGGTCTTTACTGTCTTTGCAGATTTCAGAGCTTCTTCAAGATCTTTTTCAAGCTTTTCATTATCCTGCACAAGATTATCAATTCTGTATTCATAATCTCTTCTCTCAGATGATAATCGATTCACTTTGTACTAAAGTCGCATGGCCTCTGCATGAATTTCCTGAAATGCATCCAGTAACATGTGGTACTTGACTTCTATTGGTTCATTTTCGAATTCACGATCACTATCATCGTCTGATTGTGCAGAGCCTGCCATGAAGCAGATATTTGATTCTTCTTTGCGATCACAGTCTTCATCACTTGAAGAGTCCGAGTCACTGTTTTCCCAAGTAATATATGCGCTTTTCTGCTTCTTGCTCTTGTCATGAGGAAATCTCCTGCTTCCTCTTTGCTTGATTTTCAGGTCTGGACATTCAAGCTTGATATGTCCTTCTTTGCCAAACTCATAACACTGAACATCATTTGACCTTGCAATTTTCTTTCCCTTTCCAATACCTGCATGGTCAGTAAATTGACTTTTGTTTTTCATGAATCGATTGAATTTTCTTACCACCATGCTCATCAATTCTTTGTTTCCCAGTTCTGCCTCTGATTCAACTTCAGAATTCACACTACAAAAAATATTGTATTTAGTAGGGATTATTTTGGGGAGGTTATTAAAAACCCCCTCAAATAAACATTATCTAAAATTATTTTGATAAATCATCTTAAAGCCAAGAATAACGGAGGTTTTGATTCCTTTTGGAAGAGGTTGGTTAGCTTAATAGATTATAATACTTTTTTTTTTCATTTCCCTCACATTTTTTAGCATTCCCTCCCAAAATTTTACTTTTTTTCACTCCAAATTTTAGATTCTTCTTTTCTAGAATTAGAACACAACAAACCCAAAAGAAAGAAACCCTTCGTGCCTCAGCTTCTTCCCTGACCTTTCAGTGTCTCAGTTTTCTCTTCACCCTTGATTGACCACCTCAATACGGTGGAGACGCCCATCATCGTGGAGGACTAGCCACCGTGGCCCACGAATTAGGGGGCTGAAGAAGCAGCACAGCGTGGAGTACTGGATGATGGGGTCGCTTCTCCACGACGTCGAGGGCAGAGAGGTGGTTAGGGTTTCGGATCCGCAACTCGCCAATGCCTTCTTCGTTCCGTTCTTCTCTGCGCTCAGTTTCAACACGCACGGCCACAACATGTAGGATCCCGCCACGGACACGGATCGTCAATTGCAGGTGCTTCGCCATCTTTCTTTTCTTGGTAGTTGATTTGTGAATCACTGGAATGCAATGCGACGCGAGTTAATTTCATTTTTGCATGATGCGATTAATTTCCTTTTCCTATGTAATTTTTGTAATATTTGCCAATAGGTCACTGAAAGTAATATTGAGGAGTTTAAAGCAAACAATGGGGGATCTGACTCTAGGAAACAACATCAGAGGGTATTTTTGCCGCTTCGGCATTACCACTACCGCCAGTGAGCTCACTCGAAGGTGTTCCAACACTGTAGGAGCTATTATATGGTATGACATATGCATCATTCGTTACACCAAGGTATGACTAAATTTTTATATGTAAAAATCACTGTTTGTTTTCCCTTAATAGTACCTTCTTGTATTGTTTATCAAATGAAATTGTCAAACTGATTTGGATAATTGAACTAGCTAATAATGGCTCCTTTTTTCTCTGCTCATTATTTATCGAATTAACTAATCTGTTTACTGAAATTTTGGAAGCTGAATTGTAGGTATATGCTCTGATCATGATTTCAAATTTTGGGATATAGTTACCGAGATTCCTTACTACTAATTAATTAATCATCATAAAATTTCTTTTAACAGATTATGGAATGAAAAGCATTGACATTTCAAGCATGTGATGGAGTACCATTTAACAATTTCATTGCTGAATTTTTATATGTATAAATCACTGTTTGTTTATTATGGGAATAAGGTTTCAAATTTTAGATCCAGAAGCATTTATAGGCCAATTCTTGGTGCTGCGGAAAATTATGGGAATAAAACCCCCAAAATTTCGGTGGCGGTTTCAAACCCCGGATCTATATTCTTTAAATGAATATTGTTTCCTTGATTTGGGGTTTGAAAGTTTTAAACTTTCCCTCGAAAATGATTTTATTAAACAGTTGGGTTTCTGTATACGGTTTTTTATTTATTTGATCGTGCGTAAATATTTCGTCTTTATCTGTTTCTAGGCATTGGTTTTATTCAGTTGGGGAGATTTTTTTATTTGTATAATAATATGAGTATAACTGAATAATGAGTTTTGTTGAGTTGATTTAACGTATTGGCTACTGCTTGGAAATTGTCTTTTAGTTTCTAAGAATTTTTTTCTCTTTGATTAGTCTTATTATTTAATTATTAATTGATGTTTTGTTGCACTATATTACTTCTTTTTTTTATCGTTATTGAATAAACTATTGCTATCTCAGATAAGAAAGCTGACTACGATGTTGAGGTCAGCGGGGTTGAGATATCTCCTGATCCTATTGAAGAGGCCAACCTGCTACATTCAGCATTGCTGCAACTACAGGTATGACTAAATTTTTATATGTATAAATCATTGTTTGTTTCCCCTTGATAGTACCTTCTTGTTTTGCTTATCAAATGAAACTGTCAAACTGATTTGGATAATTGAAGTAGCTAATAATGGCTCCTTTTTTCTCTTCTCATTATTTATCGAATTAACTAATCTGTTTACTGAATTTAAACTTCATGATCATGGAAAATGAAAGCATATGTTATATGCAGAGTATTACAACTTTGAGTTCTACCAGTTTCTTGACTTTTCATTAACAGATTCGTTTCTTTTGTATATTAAATAATGATGATTTAATTAGTGACAATAACAACTCTCTATATGTATTAAGTGGATGAGGGATTTGAGTGATGAAGTAAAGAAATAGCTGGTTTTGTTGAATATGCAGGTTGAGTCCGTGTAGTTTTGATATGTCATTGGTGACTGTGTGAAGTAATACTAGTATTGGTGATAAGCTTTGTAAAAGGTATTGTTCAATTTTGTGTGTTCTATTTGAAATGGGTTTGAATATTTGTTACCCTGTTGAATCTTTGGGTTATGGGAAATTGGTAGGCTATGTAAAGGAAAAAGGGTCGTGTGCATATAAATATGATGTAGCTGAAAGATGTGGAGCATTGGTTTATCTTAACAAATTCACTGAAAGATGTGGAGCATATGTTATTGTCAAGCAAGAGATGATGCAACCTAGTGCCAACATCAAAGACAGGTAAATTCCTTTCTATATATTTATCTTCTTGTTCTTTCTAGTTTGCATATCAAAGACAGGTAAATTCCTTTCTATATATTTATCTTGTTTTTTCTAGTTTGCATATTGTCATAAATTTTTGTATGAAGAATCTCAACTTTGTAGGTTCGGAAATGGATGATGAATCCATTGTTCATCTTGTTTATCATGCTTACAATCTCATAAAACTTTGTATGTATATCATCAACCAAAGATTAGAAGCAATGGAAGCAGGAGAGTCTACAAACAATGACTTGTTGGACATACATTGTTGAATTTTAAAAAAGTAGTGATGGAGGAATGAGTTTAAGGGAAGTAGTTGATGAAGTGAAGCTCTTTTACTTCGCAACATAGAAAGCAAATGCAGAGTGTCTCATGTTAAACTTTTATCTGAGTTAGGGATTTTGTTTAGGTTATCAACATTAGTCTATAAGTTTTTAATTGGTCTTGTAGTTTTCGACCAGGTCAATCTTGTAATGTTATCTAAACATTATGTACTTTTTTATATTTACATTGTAATTGTGAAGGAATGTATTTATATTATTTTAAATCATTAATAAAATTAATTTGAATTATTTTTGTATATTTTACAATTTTATATATTTTATTATTTTTTATTATTATTTCAGCAAGCTTGTGAATTGAATAACATATATTAATACAAAAAATAGTGTAAAAAATACAAATATTTTTTGTAATCAAATAGTTGAAAATAAAGGAGGTTAAAAACTCCCACAAAATAATAGTCAGTAATAAAGGAGGTTTTTACCCTCCGCAAAAAAACCTCCGCAAATTGAATTTGATACCAGGGGTTGCGAAAAACCCCCGCAGATAGGTTGTGGCGACTCAAACTGCGGCGGTTTGAAAAACCTCCGGAAATTATTTTGCGGAGGGTAAAACCCCCGCAAATTGAAAAAAAAACCTCCACTAAATAACATTTTTTTTTGTAGTGTCACAATCTTTGAAGCTTTTCTGCTTGTGGCTTTTAAGGCAATAGACTTCTTTTCTTCAATCTCTTCCTCTTCCTTTAGCCTTCCAAGTTCAAGCTCATGTTCCCTTAACTTGTCGAACAAGGTAGCCATATTCATGTTTGTTAGATCTCTTGACTCAGAAATTGTTGTGGCCTTCGGTTGCCTGCTTCTGTTCAGACTTTTCAAAATCTTGATGTTGATATCTTCCTTGTCAAAAAAATTTCCTACAGCCATGAGGTGGTTGACTATATGCGTGAATCTTTTTTGCACCTCGTAGATAGTCTCATCAGCCTTCATTCTGAATAATTCATACTCCTATATCAGAGAGTTCTTTCTGGCTCTCTTAACTTCATCAGTTCCTTCATGAGTCACCTCCAAGACTTCCCACATGTCCTTAGCCGTTTTGCATTGGGATATCCTGAAAAACTCATCCATAGTTAGTGCAGAAGCAATTACATTTCTAGCCTTAACATCATACTGTGCTCTGCGGTTCTCATCTTGAGTCCACTAAAAAAAATGGGTTAAATATGTTTTTAGTCCCTAAACTATTGGCCGTTTCTGGTTTTCGTCCCTCTTTCAAAGTAAGGTACAATTTGATTCTCAATCTTTTCGAAAGGTTCGTTTTAGTCCTCGGAATTTTGGTTTTAGTCCTCATTTGTTGCTAAATGAGGACCAAATTTTTAAACAGTGTTTAGTTTTCGAGGACTAAAACGAACGTTTCGAAAAGAATGAGGACCAAATTGTACATTACTTTAAAACAGGGACGAAAACCAGAAACGGCCAATAGTTTAGGGACTAAAAACATATTTAACCCAAAAAAAATTTCAAAACAACTTTTCCATTCAAAACATGAGTGGGTTCATATGGACCGTTTATGATTGCATCCTAAACACCTTTGTCCACGGATTCAAGAAAGATTTGCATCCGAATTTTCCAAAAAGCATAGTTTTCACCAGCAAATAGAGATGGTCTATTTGTTGATGCACCTTCACCAAAGGTTTGAAAATTAGAAGCCATTTTCCAGGATTAGTCGATTTAACAGAAAACGTAATCAACTAGTTTTTCAAATATTTTATGAAAACCAGCTCTAGTACCAATTGTTAAAATAGAATGACTTAGTTTTCAACACCAAGAGGGGGTGAATTGGTGAAACACAAAAGCAATGTTTTCTTTAGATCTTTTTCGCAAAGTAGATGCCTTTAAAAGCTTTCTTGAAACGCAAGGAAAAGGATTTTATAGTGCAGCGAAATAAAGTCGAATGCGTGAAAAATAAAGTCGACTGAATGTAACAGAGTAGGGATAGAAAGATCAAACACTGAGTTTTTATACTGGTTCGGCCAAGCCTACATCTAGTGTCCTTCCACCATAGGAAGAAAATGCACTATAATGATCAAGGTTTATACAACAAGGCTTTTATAGAGACCTCCACATCAAAAATATAAAACACCTCTCTAACCCTCTAATCAAAATATAGACATATAACAAAAAAGACCAGCAGCAAGATCTACCCTCTTCTGTTGTCTACACCCTTTGAGAAACCCCTCAAAGTCAAGAACGCCGCACACTCTTCTTCCTATAATCACAACAGGGAAATAACCCAATCTTTAGTAGATTGTCAACACTGATCTTTCAGTAAACACCTCTCTGTGCATATTTGATTAGCTCTTTCAAAGCACAACAATCTTGCTCTTCAAGAAATCACAAGAGATGATCACCATGGTCTTCTTCTTTGATTCTTGGAGCTTTTCCACATTCTGTAAGATAGCACCGATCTGTAATGAATATGAAAATATTAGAATTCACAAAAGTTCCTAGAGAATTCAAATTCGCGTCTATTTATAGTTTTTCACAATTCTAACGCTCTCAAGTCGACTTAGCTACTGATGCAGTCGAATACAACAATTCAATTAAATTAGTTAGCAGTAATCAATGCAGTTAATTGAATGTACAATTAATACAGTCGAATCACAATATATGTTTGGTCAACATATTTAAAAATATAGCCGTTGTAACATTTAATACAAGCATTAATAGAATTTCAAAACTGTAACAGACTTAGTCGAATGCAGGTTGCATGTAATCGACTATACAACACAGTTAAACAAAGTTTTGAAAAACTTTCTCTTCAAAAATTCTCACAACACACTTTTAAAAAGTTTGTGCAAAGCCACGAGTTTTAATCGACTTACTTCATAATGAAGTCGACTTAAAACTGTTGTTTTGCCACATATTATAAGTTCAACAAAAGTGCTTGTGATTTTCCTTTTCTAGAACATATGTCATGCATTCACATATAAGATCTCATGTAAAACACAGTGAATTGCAATGATCAACACAATACAAACATGTTCTCATATATTCATAATCATGAAAGTAATGAACATGTAACACATAAACACATGTGTTATTAAATATGTGTTGTCATCATAAAAAACCAGAAACTCTGAGATTGTAGATTCAGCTAAACCAGTGCTCCTCCTATCAACAATCTCAACAACATGCAATGCACAATTGGCTCGCATGTAAAGGAACAAAACATACCAAAGAAAAGAGTATAAACTAACTTTATCTTTTACAGAAACTGATCGTATGGACTTGAAGATTTCACCTCGAGGATCGTTTAAGCAGTCTCTGATATTCAAAAAAATGAACAAGGAGTGAAAACTCCTAAAAAAAACTTTAAAAAAGTGATTTCTAGAAAAAAAAAATGATATTTTAAATAATAAAACACATTCCTAACAAGTATTAAAACCTTTTAAATTTTAAAATAATTGAATCTCACTGTTTTTAAACTATTATAAAATACTATTTTCTTAGTATTTACAAAAGATAAAATCTATATTTCTTATTACAATTTTATAAACCCTTTTCCATCTTAATCATAATCTCAATTTTAAATTTTAACTATATTGTGCATCAAAGTGGTATTTATCCCCGAACCTTAACAATTGTAAAAGAAGGACACATTTAAAAGCAAGTTTAATCTAAAACAATTTCGATAGGTAATAATGTACATATTCCAGAACCATCTCAAATCAAACCAGTAGCAAACATAACGAGCATGATGAAGCGTTTGCGTAAGAAGTACTTCATAAGTGCCACCCAACATCATAGTACACAAAAACAAAGTATCTCCAGCTCAACATTAGAGCACGTTGTTAATTAGATCCATCTATATCTACGCTGCGTTGACTCCAATCTATTCAACGACTACCTGCACTCTCGCAGTGTCTCTCTCCATTCCCATTCTCCCTCTCGTCACAAAAACAATGCCTCATTCTTCTTCTTCTTCTTCTCCCGTTTCAACCATTTCCAATCTCCGTATTCGCGCCCTAATACTTTGGTCCTCCAAGAACTACGCAATAGCTGCATTCGTTTTCCTCCTACTCTTCTCCCTCACTCTCTTCTCTCACTTGGATTCCCGTTCCCGTTCGCATTCCCGTTACCCCTCCCATCCACGCTCCACCCTCGTTCCCTTAACGCTCCTCCATAACGCCAACCGAACGCGCGCGCGTACGTCCCTAACGATCCCACGCGCCTCCCTCCTTTTTCGCTTTAACTGAATCCGGAATTTCCATCTGTGTGTGCAGTTTGCTTGGACGGGAGCGCCCCCGGTTACCACTTCCAAAGCGGGTTCGGATCCGGATCTCTCAATTGGTTGCTCCACATTGAGGTTTCTCGTTTTGCTTTTGTAAAATTCTGTATGATTTCTAGAACAGAGAAAAAATGGCAACACACTGCAAGAGAAGTTTGTGTGTATGAGAAACAATTCTTGAGGTGAAAAATATGAAGGAAAAATGAAACGAACTTTTAAAAGTTAAAAATTAATTTATGTTAGAGATAAGAATTTAGAAGAAAAAAATCTATGCATGTATTTATTGCTGTGTTTTTCTTTTTCTCTTATGCTGAAAATTGAACAATACCAGATTTCTGTTTCCGTACTATCGTAGCCTTATACAATGTCCGCTGATACTTAATCCACCTTTATTATTAAATAGAGAAATGTTCTCAAAACACTCCGGCATAAAAATGTAATATAGTTTGGGACTAGTATAGTCACTGGACTATATCTCCATGACGTATAGTTGAATTTTATTAGCTCTTTGTTGATAACTGAAAACTTAGAAATCTGTCACATAGAAATGATGATTTTTAACCATGTCATAGTTAATCTTCTGACACACCTTTTTCAATGCACTCTTTAGAATTTGTTCAATCTGTTGAAAATCCCGAAATAGTAAGGATTTCATTCATTTCTTGTTTAAGAAGTCTTCTTCGTGATTTTATAGTTTCTAATGACTTTTAACTGATAATATAAAGCATGTGAGAAAATGTGTTACTAGCACTTCTCTGGAAAGTATTATTACCTTCCTGGTTTCAATTGTGTGCGCAGGGAGGAGGGTGGTGCAATTCAATAGCTTCATGTACTCAACGAAAATTCACCCATTTGGGGTCTTCCAATTATATGGAAAAAAGTATTCCTTTTTCAGGAATACTGAGCTCTGACCCCTCTCAAAACCCAGGTTAGATATCTGTAACTGTAACGTGCTTATATCGTTGTTTTAACTTTTAAATTCCACAGGCTGCATCTGTCTAGAATTTCCAGCAATATCAAAGTAGGTCACAAACAGATGCAACTTGCAATTTAAACCCTTGACTTATGTACTGTCAAAGTAACATTAACTGCTTTTATCACACGATGGTACTTGCTTGTCAACTATATCTTGATATCTTTCTTTCTTTACTCTAATTCTGTAGGAATTTACAATTTCTTGAAAAGTTTAGCTTCAATGCATTGATTTATGACATTTTCTTATTATCATCCAATTGTGTGATGCTTGCTACATTCTCATGATTGAATGATATGGTGACAAAGTTTTAGAGACATAGTAAGACATCATTGTTCCAGTTTGGTCATTTTGGTATTCTGGGTTATGTTGATTTCTACTGTGTCTTTAGACAGATCGTGGAATAAATTTTTACTGTTCTAATATTCATGACTGATTGTATTGGTGACAGTTTCCCTCAAATTTGAATAAGTCATATCCAGCTCACCCTGGATATGCATATGTGGCCGTTGAGTAAATTTTACTGCCAGAAAGTGTAGAATGTGTTTGTATGTTGGTAAAAATAAATAGGTAGATAGACGATCTGATATGTTGAGTAAATGATGTTACTTCATATTGAATAAGTGATCTGTCAAACTTATTCAGATTTCTTTAACTGGAACAAGGTGAAGATTCGCTATTGTGATGGTGCATCTTTTGCTGGTCACCCCGAGAGCGAGGTTAGGATTGATTTTACATTTGACAGGAGTGATTTTACATTTGACACTGGTTGTTGGTAACCTTTATATGTTTGGGTTTATGTTGATGTATTTTTTAAAGATATTTTGTACAGCAGAGAGGAAGTGAGTTATTGTTCAGAGGCCAGGTCATATGGGAAGCTATTATGGATGAACTCTTATCAATTGGCCTGTCCAAAGCAAAGCAGGTTATACTTTCATCACAACAATCATCCAGCATATCTTATAAAATTTTCTGAGCTTGTTTCGAACAAATAGGCTTATCAAAATGGATATAATGCCTGGCTTTTAGTCTTCTACTCAATTTTATCACTTGCACTATAAAGCATTAAATGAATGGACCAACGTGGTCAATATTCTGTTTGTTCCGCACTTATTATCCTCATGCGATGCATAGTGAAAACCATATTATGCAATTATTCTTGTAGAACAGGATCAGACTTAGATGAAGGAATATAGAGAAATAATAAATATTTTATTTATTGAATTCTGTTCTCTAGATCTTGGTCAGAGAGATGACAAGTTTGAGATAGAAGAGTATCAATGTACAGAAAGAACCCTACATCCTTGTCACGCTCTCAATAATCCTCCAAAAAGATAGTTTTTTTCTCCTCCCTATTTCTTATTTTTAAAGTCTTCTCAACTAACTGGCTGTAATTGACAGCACGATTAATCACTTCTACATAGTAACTGCCATTGCTGTTATGATTGCTGCCAGCACAACAGCAGCATTGACTAACAATCTTTACTCCCTGCACTCTAGTAGAACTGGATAAGATACTACCCAGTCTTTTTAGAGGTCTGGACTCTTGAGCAAACAATTTTCCCAAATAATTTTGATGTCCCGATTTGGAGCTTCACTGTAGTTATTACCTAGTTGGCTATCTAACTATAAAATTCTGTCACAACTGAGAAGGAAAAATCCTTTGAGGCATTTCTATTTGGCCTAGCCTACTCCTATAAATTTCTTTGGTTGGAGGTTGACAATCACTCTCCTTTGTATTCTTTCAAGTATATCCTTTTAATTGGTGGTCTGCAATCATAATTGTAAAAGATATATGATTTGATCTTAGTAATTATGTACAGGCTGATAATTAGGTATATTCTCTATTAATAGCCATTATTAGGTTTCCCAATATTATGCTGTGAAAGATCTTGAGTAAAGAATTTACATGTGTGATTAAACACACAATTCGCAAGAGAGAAACTCTTTATGGTATCATAGAGCTAGGTTTTCTTTTTCCCTATGTTTTTCCCTCTTCTTTTTTTTCCGCTATGCACGTTCACATGACATTGTTCATGCGGCATTGTCCATGAAGTACTGTTCACTCTCACTGTTCATATGACACTGTTTGTGCGTTCTGTTCATGCAGTCGCTATGATCTTCCATTGACCACCCTCAAGCCCTCTAAGAATCACCATCGTGCAAGAATCACCACCTAACTCCATTACATGCGTTACCTATCTTTGACATGTCTGTCTCAAGTAACAACCTCCCTGCCACGCTTCTCCTTCCATGAACCACTTTTGGGCTTTGCTTTTGGGACAATATGACTCCATGGCTTTTTCTGATTAGCTTTCGCTCATTCTCTTGTGACTTTTACCAACGTTTCGAATGATCCCATGCAAAAAACTCATAGGGACAACAAATTACAGCACTTGGCATTTGTTGTTCAGTTATGGATTCAAGGTCAAGGCAGAACATTTACGACTTGCTATGATGTATGGCTACGACTAAAAATTTATTCAAAAAATTGTTCATTTCTACAATGTACTCACCGACTTGATGAACATCAAGTTAGAGAACATGGACCTGCAAACATATCTTGGAAAGCTTGATTACCTGGTTGCAAAATATTCTACTTTCATGTCCTTCACTACTAATGCAGAGGCATTCAACAAACAACACATTCGATTTTTCATGGTACTTTCTCCTGTTGGACTTCCACCAGACCTTGAAGTTGTTCATAATCAAATTCTTAGTTCTACCATTACTAAATAGGATGCGATTCAGGAATAGTCATTGCTTCTCTCCACTCCTCATACTTTTGAAAGCACTTCAACATTTGGTGAGCTAGTCTCTCACTCCTCTCATCATGGTGGTCACAATGGAAGTGATGGTGGTCATGGAAATTCCCCTTGCAACTACTACAAATTTTGGGGTCATGTTGAAGAAGAATGTCCCACCAAAGCTCTTTAGTAGCCTCAACGAGCAATTGTGGCCCAAGCCACCACTCCTACTTTAGATATCATAATTTTTGCCACTGAGTATCATGAGCTTCTCAAGCTTCGAGCAACTGACCAACTTACATCAATTGTTTCAGCTATGACTCATTCTAGTAATCTTGTAACTTTTGTTTTTGAGTCCTCCTCAATTGGACCTTGGATACTTGGTTCCGGTATCTCAGATCTTATGACTCAAACTAATCTTTTTTTTTCTCTTCTTGACCTTTCTCGACTCCTTGCCTTCTTGTTACTTTTGCATACAACTCTTTGACTAAAGTCTGGGCCATTGGATTAACCATCCTCTTCCTCAACATTCTTTAAACTATCTTATTTATTCTTGAATGTCCTTTTAATCTAATCTGTATTTTGTCTTGTGTGTTAATAATTTTGTTCTTGTATAGAATTGAAGCAGGGGATGGATGATTAGAGTAGGACATAAGTTTGAAGGATTATTTTGTTTTATCCCTCCAATGTCATGTGTCTCTTGTACCTCTCCAACTCTTGTACACCAACAACGCCTTGAACACTTGAGTCTAGAAAAAGTGTGTCTACTTGTTCCTAGATTTTCTACCACTAAGTCTTTTCAGTGTGAGCTTTGTTAACTAGGTAAACATACCTGTACCTGTTGTGGTCCTCGTTTCAATAAGTGTGTTGCATCATGATATGCTTTAGTTTACTCTAATATTTGGGGCCCTAATCACGTTTGTTCCACATTAGGATATTTTTATTTTGCCAATTTAATAGACAATTTCTTGTACTTGGATTTTCCAATGAAGAATCATTTTCAAGTTTTCTCTACTTTGCAAAGTTTTTTTTTTCTTTTTTAGAAATTGAAACTCAGTTTGGCTACGAAATTAAAATTGTATGAATTGGTAATACAAGTTGTCTTCCCATTTCAGTCTTTGCCAAACTCAAAGGAGATTCTTCATCAAACATCATGAGGCCGCACACCAAAACAATATGGTGTTGTTGAGTGCAAAAAATGCTATTGGGTGGAAACAAATCACACTCTTCTTCACTTTAATGTTCCTTTATGCTTCTCGGGATGTTCTTCTTATTGCATGTCATCTGATTTTACACATACCTTCATCCATTCTCAACAATCAAATTCCATGTTCCATCTTGAACCTTAAAAACAAACTTTGTTTTTTCTCTCTCTGTATCTTTAGGTTTTGTTCACAATCTCACTATGTATTTCTCTGCTAAATTTGTAATATGTATTTTTCGGGGTTACTCCCAACTCTTGAAAGGTTGTCGATGTTTCTCTCCTCGACTACAACTGTATCTAGTCTCTACTGATTATACATTCTTTGAGACTACTCCTTTGTTTTCTTCCAGTGTTGAAGACATCTCTCTTGAGGTTCCACCTATTGTCCCGACACTTGTAGTAGTTTCCATTGCACATCCACTTCTCACATGTGACCAACAAACATGGGCACCATTAGAAGTTGCACTTTATGATCCTCTAGCTTGATCTCTTGTTCCAACTTCTCTTCCATCAATATCACGTACACTTGAACCTCCCATTGCAATTCGTAAAGGTATTTGTTCCACTTATAATCTTAAACCTTTATATGCCTTTGCTCGAAATAGTGATTGTTTATCTCCTTCCTATTTTACTTTTATCTCTTTGGACTCTGTCTATTCCAAAGTCTACAAGTAAAGCCATGAATGGCCACAATTGGCAACAGGTGATGATTACAAATATGACTACTTTGGATGCTAGCAACACATGGGAGCTTGTTCCCTTGTCTCGAGACAAACCACTATTGGGTGTTGGTAAGTCTATACAGTGAAGATTGCATCTAACATTACAAATGATTGTTGCAGAACTCGTTTGGTGGCTAAGAGTTATACTTAGACTTTTGGTGTAGGTTATGGTGACACTTTCTCTTGTGATCAAAATCACTTTGTCATCTTTTTCTTGCCATGATTGCCATCCGCCATGAGCCTTTTTACTTGTTTGACATAAAAAATGTCTTTTTGCATGGTGCGTTGCAAAAAGAAGTGTACATGGATCAACCACTTGGTTTTATAGTATCTGGCAATTCACATCTTGTCTTTAGGTTTTGCCGCACATTCTATGACTTGAAGAAATCTTCCCATACTTGGTTCAACCATTTCAACTAGGTTTTGCTTGAGTTTTGTATGGCTCATTCTAAAGTTGATCACTTAGTTTTATTCACATCATTCTTCGTCTGACATGTTCATTTATCTTGTATATGTTGATGAGATTGTCACTATAGCATTTTTGACTCAAGTCTCACTTTAACTGCTAGTTTCAAACCAAGAACTTCCATCCACTTAGGTACTTTATTGGCATTGAAATAGGGATGGTAAAGTGGGCCTTGCTGAAGTACTTTAATGGCATTCAACCTGTTAGTCTGCCTTGCTGAGCACACTAAACTAGCTGGTCGGAGCAGGCTAGCCTACCAACCCACTTTTATTTTAAACTAAAAATTAAAATTAAAATAGTTTAAAATATTAACCATTTTGTATTATATTTATTTGAAAGATGTAAATATGCAATAATATTGTAACTTAAATCATTAATACTTATAAATTAAGTTTCAATTATTAATTATAATATAGTAATTCAAGATGTAAAGGTAATAATTGTTTTAATTTATTTAATTAGAGACATTAGTTAATCAATCAAAAACTTAGAAATCATTTATATGGTTAAATGTGCTGTAAATATATATATATATATAACAAATTTTAAAAAAAAGTTGGTGGGCTGGCCCACCTTTTTGTGGGGTGGGTCAAGATTTTCAACTCATTTTGCTAGGTGGGCCGGTGGGCTGAGCCAAAACATGCCAAGCTAACCCATTTTTCCATTCCAACATTGATTGAAGTTGTGCAATTCTCATTTGGCATTGACATTTTCGAGTGCTTCAAACTTTTTGACCAATACTAGTATAATTGACTGTTGCCCCAACTTTAGTGCTATGGATCCTAATTTAAATCTTCTTCTAGAATAGGGGGAGTGATTGAAATACCTCGGAAGATATCATAGTCGACTAAGCAGACTTAATTACCTCATTGTCACTAGACCAAACATCACATGTGTAGTTTGTGTGGTTAGCCAATTCCTAAAGGTCTCATGTGATAGTCATTGGGATGCTGTTGAACACATCCTTCAATACATTTAGAATGCACCAAGTTGCGATTTAATACATGCAGATGAAGGCAATTTCAAAATTATTTGTAATTTTTTCTAGTGTTGATTGGGTAGGATTACTATAACATAGGAGGTCCACTTCTGGATATTAGGAGCAAGGGGCATAAAATTGTTGCTAAATCCAATACTTAAGTTGAGTACTAGGCTAGGGAGCAACTGCATGCGAGATTACCTGGCTTAAGCCACTTCTCTGTCAGTTAATATTTGGAGATACACAGGATACTCGAATAATATATGACAATGAAGCTGCCATTCACATTGCATCAAACCAAGTCTTTCATGAGCCAACAAAACACATAGAAATTTATTGTCAATTTTGTGGGAGAGAAGGTCCTCTTTGGAGAGATCATTACGAACTTTGTCAACTCCATTGACCAACAAGTAGACATGCTCACTAAATCCCTGAAGAGCTATCGTAATGACCGCAGCTGTAACAAGCTTTACTCATGACATATGTACTCCAATTTAAGGGGGACTGTAAAAATATGATTTGATCTTAGTAATTAGGGAAATATGTATAGGTGATAGTTAGGGATACTATCCTTTATTAGGTTTCCCTATATTATACTTTGAATGATTATAAATACAAAATTTACATGTGTGATTAAGCACACAATTCACAACAATGAAAAACCCTTTAATAAACTTTTTGTTAGTTTATATTGAATAACTTCTCTTTAATCTATGTATTGCTTGAGTTGGTTAACATAAGAAAGTGGTTGTCCTTTATTGTAAATGAACTTCTTTAATAAGCACAAATAATTTCCATATTCTCTTAAATGAACTTGAGCAATAAGAATAGATGGTAACATGAGATTAAAGCTTTGCTTTTCAATTTGAACATGTGCAATTTCAAGAGTGAAAGGAATTTCTGTGTTAGTTCTTGTCTTTTGACATGAATGTAATTCAAATAGGCAGTATTATCTCACTCCAAACTCCAGATTATATGCTTTTGATATATTGGACTGTGTATGAATTATGATGGATTAGCCTTGAATTAAAACTTGTTAGCATTTGATGATAGAAGACTACTTCTGTAGGCGTTGCTCTCAGGATGCTCTGCTGGAGGGTTAGCAGCTCTTATACACTGTGACAACTTCCGGCAATTACTTCCAAAAGAAGCAACTGTTAAGTGCCTTTCTGATGCAGGCTTCTTCCTAGATGAGTAGGTTTCTCTCAACATGCAGCTTTTTGTGTCATGATAAATGTAAACTGAAAGTTACCGAAACACCTTTTTATTTTATCACACTTTGGGTGATCTCTGGACGATACTTCCTGAGCAAAAAAAAGTTTTGAATAGTAATGGACCAGAGTTTCATTAACTGCTATTGAGATTTGTAAAACCGCACTACTGGTACATTGAGTTCTAAATTACCTGTACATGGCATGCTCACCATCTCCCATGATGTGTTACTGCGTAAAATAATTAGTATAATCTTTATTACACAAATTTCAGGAAGGATATTAGCGGAAACAGTACAATGAGATCCTTCTATCATGATGTTACCCAGCTGCAGGTGTGGTTACTTATATAGTTCTAGCAATATTTCTTTTAGGAATTACGATTATACTTATCTGTTAAGTATATTGGTATAAATAAAGAAAAGTACACTGATTTTTTCTCTTAATTATATAATAATCGCAAATCTCGTTGTCAGGGTCTTGCAAAAAGTTTGCACAAAGATTGCATTGATAAAATGGAACCATACAAGGCAGGTTTTTAGTTTTTATCATACTTTGTTGCCTCAGCCTTTGGTAGAATCTGTAACTGTAAAGTTTGATTGGTTGGTCATATATTTCAACTAAAGAACAACCAAATGTTTATTTGTAATGCAGTGTCTGTTTCCACAAGAAATTGTTAAAAACATAAAGACTCCACTGTTCCTTGTTCATCCAGCGTATGATTTCTGGCAGGTAAGCTCCCTTAGCATACATGTTTCATTGTTAACTTTTTTTTAAAAAAAGGTCTCACATTTGATACAAGTTAAAATGTATTTAGATACGCAATATCTTGGTACCTCAAGGATCAGATCCCCTTGGTCACTGGCAAAGCTGCAGACAGAATATTCGCAATTGTAATGCTAACATGATTGATAAACTTGATGGTAAGTAAACACTATCACTACCATATAGTGTTTCTGGATATTTTGTTGAAGTCTTGGTTTACTAATTTATGTAAGCCTTCAATTGGATTAGATTTGGAATAGCACAGATGCTGATTAATGATAATCTAACCTGGAAAATAAATATAGTAGCCACTCCAAGGCATGGATAACGTGGGAAATTATGATTGTCAGGTTACCGTGGCTCTTTGCTGAAGACTTTGAATGACTTCCAACAACGAAAAGAGATGGGAATGTTTATAAATTCCTGCTTTATCCATTGCCAAACTGAGATGGAAGTAACGTGGCATTCATCCAACTCTCCTAAAATAAATGATAAGGTAATCATAGTTTTGGAATCTCACATATGCTGTGTAGATAATATAAGTTATATAAATACTCAAGGCATGGAATTCACCCAACTATCCTGAAATAAATGATAAGGTAGGCCTAGTACCTCTGGAAGGTCATACAATGGGAAATTTGCTTTTTGAAAGTTAACACAAATATAGAATCACAACATGGTACTGACATTTTAAGTGCCAAACTTAATTAGGTACTCCTTTGGATTAGCTTCTTTATCCACATTTCTCCATTAAAATGTGAAGGTCCTCGCTTGCTCAACAATCGACACTAGATTCGGGCGTTGATGCAGTGGATATAGTTTCATTTAACACTAGAGTTGAGACAAACAATGCATTACTTCTTGATAATGGCTTAGCTGTTAGCATTAGCACATATAATCCGTTGGGATTGATCCGTATTGGGGATTTGACAACTTTTATATTAATTGTCGTCAGAGTCAAACAAATTCTTCCTCTTTTGCCGAGGCCTGGATCAGTAACGGGACCATAGGCAAAGTAATATAATGTTTTCAAATATAAAGTGAAGCAAAGTAGTAAAATAACAAAATCTTAATTCACATTTTCTGTTTATTTGTATAAGCATTATGTAGTTATTTTATCTGAAACTGAAAGATGTGTCCTCCCCTTTCCCTCTAAACTCACTTCTATACATTAAACAGAAACTTCAACAAAGTTCGTCCTAGTCTGGTTTACTTTACATTGTACTAGTTTAGTTTTTGTCATACTGTTCCTTTTGCTACCCTTCACTGTTTTTGACCCCTGGAGCAGACAATTGCTGAATCTGTTGGTGATTGGTACTTTGATCGAGAAGCTGTAAAGCGTATTGATTGCTCTTCTTTTCCCTGCAATCCCACTTGCCACAATATGGATCTCACTTGAATACAAAACAAAACATGGCTCCATTTTTAATGCCACATTTATCTCAGATCTTCGTTGCTTGAAGTTCATGAAGAAATATACTTCCATTTATGCTCTTTCTTGAGAGTGTGCCTGGGGAGTTAATCTTATTCACTCTTGCGTGATACGTGTTCTACAGTGTATAGATATTATGCCATGCAGCATGAAGTTTCCCCTTGACCAAGTAACTCCTGCCCGTCCTTGTTATATAACCATTGTATCATTTTTTTTGTCAGTATCTTTAAGTTTTTAATTTTTTTTTATTGATTTCCTAATGCAGAACACTAAATTTTGTGACTATTATTGTTATCTGTACTGTACTTCTTGAATCAAGTTTTTTGTAATACCTTAATTCTAACCGTAGTGTTTTAGTTAGATGTCTTTTCTCAGATTGCCACATTCGTTAACAATGATGCAATGACTCTTCCTGTTTTGGGGTCAATAAAACTAAATTCTTTCACTAAACAAAAAACATTACAGTTTTGAATGGGATAGCTCCGCAGGAATGACAAAATTGCTGGCAATCTGATGGATCAGTAAAGTTTGTGAATGTGGTAGAGACAATTGTACAATGTTGCAGAACCCATCATATACTATCTTTTATTCAGTTAAAAACCAATTTATGGGCTCTATACTGGATGCATAAGTTAAGAAACCAATATATACTTAGAATGTCATTGTTATATAAGAGAAATAAATATGGGTTATATTACAACATATGACCAAGAGTTAATTATTTAAACTCATAACATATCAAGTATATTATTGGTTGCTCGAAATAAATATATTTAACTATATTCATTAACTTAATATAATGGTTCAGTGTATTGAGCAACAAATTTAACATGGACGTTTAAAAATCATAATAAGTCTATTTATAGAAGATGGTATAATTTTACAATGTCAAAATTTAAGTAGCAGTTAAATTAATAATTGAAATTCAATTAGTAAATAATTAAAGTTAATTCAATGATAAGAAAAGTAGTAAAAACTAGAATGATACACGTACAAAAAGTTATAGAAAGAGGGTTTCTAATCATAACACTAAATCCAACATTTTGCTGGACATTAAAAGAAGTAAGATCCGGAACAAACCATAATAAGTTATATGGAAAAATTAATACTAGTTTTCTTTTTAGAGTAATAATTCCACGAGCCGATTCACCTAACCTTTGACTCTCCAATTTGTTAGTTTGGGATGCTTTCACATGCCTTACAATTTTCATATTTATATTTCAAAAATAACTTATGTATTTTATTCATTGTGTTCTGAAATGACTTAACTTTTATGTACAATTAAAATTATTATATCCCATAACAGTCAAAACTGTTACTGCACAAGTTCTTGTATAAAAACAAAGTACTTCTATAAGATCTTGTGCAACTATGAATATAAAACAAATGAATATTCATTAATAGTGTGTAAAAGCTTGTAGTGATGTAGTGTTTTTTATTTGAGATACCTAACTCTTAACAACACATAACTGAAGTCCACCATAAAATATAGACAAATGATATTTTTTTCTTATAATTTTTATGAAATGAATAATCATTTGACTATCTTATTATAAAAATGTAATAACAAATATTGAGCCAATAAAGAAAAGTGAATAAAATATTAATATATACATATGAGCAATTATCAAGTAGTTATATATGTTTAATGAGAATCTAAAAATCATATAAGATCTATCATACAGAAAATATTAGAAGCTAAATATCCAAAAACCAAATAACATATAAGGTTGTGTTACAGACATGTGTGAAGTTAGTCATGCATAGGTATCAACACTTGATTTGTGAAAGAATAGGATACTTAATCCTCTAAATGGAGATTGATGTTAAGACAAAGGACTAGAAGAAAATAGATAGAAAATTTTACTTTCTTCTATATCTAACATGTCTAAATCATGTTCAACTTACAAATAACTCAACACACAATAGCACAATGAATAGAAAATATATTAGGGTTGATGATATGATCATTGATCATATTTGTGTTAAAAATATTTGATTTGACCAACAACATTAACATTTTTTCTTGTGTCCAATCACAAATATTCTTCAAATATTTGTTTTTTTTTATCAAACAAATTTTAAATGGATATATTTTTATTCTAGACTTCATGATATCCATATGTCTTTTTTAAAAATACGATCATTATATGAAGATAATAAAACAAAATATTCGATTTTAAAGCAAGTAAATTTAACTGTATAAACGCACCTTTCACCCTCTATTATTATTGATACACCTATTATGAGTGAATAGAATAAATCATATTTTTCATTGTACAAAGATAAGACATAAAAACTTCTTAAAAGAAAAATATGCTAACATATAAGAATAATACCTGTAACATCCCAAAATACAGTAATTACCATAAATCAGAATTAATTACAATTAACAGTAAATCAATTCAGTCTTCTTAATTAACAGAGTTCAAAAGCCGAACGGCTTAGAGTGTAGAGTTACAATATACAAATTGAATTCATGAAAGAGCTAATAACGAGCGGTTTTACAAAACAAAATAACCGAACGTATAAACCCAAAACGGACGTCCTAAACTAGAAAGAAAAGACGGACGTCCTACTGCTCCGCTTTCACTTCCACTTCGACTAAATTTTCTTCTTGGATCACCTCTTCTAAAGTAGCCTCGCCTTCTGCTCACATCCACAACGGATGATCATTGCAAGACAAGACGAACGTACACATACCATGGACAACACAAGGAAAAACGAAAGGGTAAGCTTATATAATTTAATTTATAATTCAACACATACAACGAACATATCATTCCACTCAAGCACATTGTTTAACATATAACATCATGTAACATCTATAAATATATCTATATATATAAGACGACCGTCCGGACTGTATGATCTGTGTAGCTACAGGCGTCCTTGCACCCGAGTGGTGTAGTAACTGGGATACACTCAACAGCTGCCACTCGAGGTTAGTCCGTTCTTACGTCGCCCATGTTAACTTATGGACTAAGGACCTCCTGCCATTCCCACACATGAACTACTCCTCTCTACTTGAGAACGAGCACTCACGGAATATCAGGATGGACCAAGCCAGCATTAGCATGCCCACAGTCATACTTTACCAAATTCCACACTCAACATATGTGAGTCGTTCCTCCCTGGAACGCTCGTACAACATTCATAAACGTTTAATCATCTCATATAATGTTCATCATTCAAAATCTTTCACTTTTATTTTCATTTTTGTCTTTCAGTCCGAGTACGTAAATATTGAACTTTCAGCCCTCTTTATAACGAGGACAACCGTGAGGAACGAGACTGAAGAATTTACCTCGTTCCAAAATAAAGTAATACCGACTAACCAGATGATGAACGACCTGTGTTAAACGGGTGCTCGACCACTGTCGGTCGAACCCAAATGGACGACCTGTATTAAGAGAGGTTGCCGACCTGGGTCGGTCGACACAGATGAATGATCTGTATTATCAAGGGTGCTCAACACTGTCGTCGATACAGATGAAGGTCTGTATTACAAGGATGAATCGACACTGTGTCGACACAGATGGATATCTGTATAGGTGCTCGACACTGTTGATGACACAGATGAATGATCTGTATTTCAGGATGCTCGACACTGTCGGTCGACACAGATGGATGATACTGTATAAGGGTGCTCGACACTGTTGAGCGACACAGATGAATGACCTATATTAAGAGGGTTTTCAAGAAAAGAGTAAGACGCTTGGTGTAAAGCCGAGCACTACCAATAACGATTTACTACGTGTAAGATCGACACCTGCTCATTATGAGCTCAAGTAAAAGACCTACATACTCAGCTCGACCCAGAACCGCCTTCTTCGGCAATGAAAGTATTCCAATTCAACGAAGTTTAACTGAGAACACCCAAACGTGTGCGAGAACCGTTTAATGTCGGACATAAGTTATCATAGGGAAGTTGATATTCAAGTTTCACTTACATTCTACAGTTCCTAAGCATTTATATTCTTATTCATACGTATCACTCATCATCATACATTCTAACCAACCTATATCCATATTCATTCAGTACACGAACGTTGCCGGATGCATACTCAACCGACATCATCTCATACATTCAGTTCATGATATGTTTACATACAGCCATACAGTATACAATATAAATTAGCTAGGCTCCCTTACCTGGATAGCAGTGTACTCCCGAAAAAGCAAGGTTTTTGTTCGACCTCTAACAGCGTTCTATCCCTCAGGTTTTCGCTCAACAACTTTCACTAATCTAAAACACCAGAAATCAGAAACAACTCAGACTATAACCCATGCATGCACTGAATCTTAGTTTGCATGTACTACGAACAAACGTTCAGATCATCGTCCAGAGTCGAGTGGACTTACCGTTACAGAACTAGGATCTGTTTGGTTCGGATTGAAGCTCACGGTGCCAGGAACGTTCCTACGGTTCTGAAACGTGATCGGAGAAGAAGGTGATGAGTTACAGTAGAGAGAAGGTGAAGGTTTCTAGAGAGAAGTTGGAGAAACGAAAGGTTGGTTCTTAGGAAGAAGATGAATTGGTGCAGGTGAGTGGAAGAGTTTTTCGAAAAATCACTTTTGTTTTCTTCCAATTCCAGACGAACGAGCGTCTCGTTTTCGGACACCTGCCTCGGCCATTCTGACTCATTCAGAACTTCCAACGTGACAAGTTGGCATGCGTGCTATGCAATGCAAAGTGGGTTTTTAATTACCCGGTGTAGCGCCGGAGTGACGTGGCGTTGTATTAATGGTGATGCGACAGAGATTATCATTGCTAATTATCTAGGGTCTCACAATACCATTTCAGAAGAAGAGACGTTTAGATAACATAAATAATTGTCATACATTGATGTCTTGATGTTTCTAGTTGAATGATTCAAAATGTCTAAAATAAATTATTACAAAAAAAAACACTTAATACAAATGACTTCCACGTGAAACAAGGTTAAAAAGAAATTATATATAAAGAGTAATAATATTTTGATACATAAATTATTACATTCATTTTTATTGATATTATATTTTTTTCTTTCTTCTTTTATAAATATAAAAATTTATATTTTTATGACTATTTTACTTTTATAATATATATATATATATATATATATATATATAATATATATATATATATATTATATTATATATATCTATATATCTATATATAAATGAATGTCAATACGTTATCTTACCATTATTCATATAAAAATAAAAGTAAGATTAGGTAACTTTAAAAGTTGCATAAAAGCTTTCAATTCCATTGGGCTATATAAACATTGTCTTACTTATTTCTAAACATGTTTTATAGAAGATATAATGTTAAGTGAGATTTACACAATAAGTGATGAAAGAAAGTAAGATCGTGTTATATTTTGCACAATAAACTG